AGCCAAAGAATGGGATTCTTCTTTGGTTTGGTTTTCTTACTCATTTTTGAATTTCACAAGTTTGGATGTTTAGAAACTGATTTCAGTTTTTTTTGAAACAGGGGCAGAGCCAGGGGGTGGCCGGGGTGGCCAGGGGTGGCCATGGCCACCACAGACAAATCTTTGGCCACCCTGCTGTACACACCCCATCAACTTTTAGGGGTGTAATAATCCTCCTGAACAGTTGGTGGCAGTGTTTAACAGTTTGAAACATCACCAAGCTCTATCACTGAAGAAGAGGAATGACAAGGAAGTGATGATTATCTTTATATACAGAACATATGTAATCTGACTTATGGTGACAACTTTTGGACTTATGGAGACAAATGTTTTTTTATTTTATTTTGTTGTTTGTCATTTTGTGTTATGACGGCTGCATGATGCTCTGTGTTTGGTGACGAGTAGACCTATCACTAAATCAGAAAAAGTGAAACATCCCTCTAAATTCACTGTTGGTGATTATCAATGTTGCACCTGTTAATTGGGTAAAATTATTAATGTTAGTTTTAAACATGCAGTTGAAGGTCACCATTATTTGGCACAATGATGTTACAATTAAAAATAAATCAATAAACAATATAAAAGTAATAAGCACTCCTAAAGTCATTGGATATGATAAATTGTGTCACATTAATTAACCTTATCTCAGCTAAAGCAGTGAGATTAAAAACAGGATGATAGAACTAGTTTAGTGTGAGTAATCCGCCTCTGAAATAATTATTAAATCAAGTGTTTATTTATGTAGGTAAAATTACGTTTAACAACCTGATAAAATACACCAGAACGCAGGAAATGGCATCTACTCTGTTCAAAATTTTTTGGGGGAGGACCCCCAGACCCCCCAACAGTGTGTCGCCCACTCTTAAAATGGTTCTGACACCCGTGTTTTTAAGGTAGTCACTGCCTGTATAAGGACATAAGGAAATGACAAAAACACAAAGATCTGCAGAAAATTTAAAGTAAAATTTTATGTAATTTTCCTGGTCACCCCTGTGTGTGTGTGTTGGACCCAGTCTGACCACCCCTGAGAAAAATGTCTGGCTCCGCCACTGTTTTGAAATCTTACTCAAAAATGAGTTGTTAGTAATTTTATGACTTTAAACGTCAGAGTTTTCCTCAGTATGTAGGAGCAAATATATCCTYCCCCTTCCCGAACAGCACACACACTTTCAAAACTTCCTCTGCATCCACCAACCCTCCCCATCTCTCCTGGGACCCTCACAAAAGTCTGGTTAGAGGTCTCCAGTGCCAAAACGCAGGAAATCACAGCTGTGCTCTTCCCCCTTTCAGCGTGTTTGAGACCCAGAGTGTGTGTTTTTGTGTCTCTATTGGCATGTGTTTGTAGATTTAGGTCAGGGTGTGTGTTTTAGTGTCTGTATGTCTGTGTTTGTGTCTCAAGTTGCTCTCCCGTCCAGTTGATCTGCTCGGTGTCCCCCACTTCTTCTCCACACAAGTTTCCCGTTTAGTTGAAGCCTGGCTTATGCAGCTTAATAAACACCCTGTTGGCCAGAGCTGTGTGTCATTGAGGCTAATAACACAAGCCTGAGTGCTATGGTGGAAACACACACACACACACACACACACACACACACACACACACACAAAAACACACACACACACACACACCCCGACAGAAGCATCAGAGGTGAAGCAGAATACGGTCTGTACAAATG